AATTGTAAATGCGTGCATAGTGCTCACTTCCATAAAGTCAAATGCCATCTCATAAAGTCTAGTTGGATCCTGTCAGTGACAGTGACACAGAATCAGTACCTTGGAGCATTAAAATTAATTTGCTTCATTTATATTACTGCAGTGATAGCTAGATGAAAAGAGTCCTATATTTAAATTCTCTTAAAAATACCTTCAAATCTTTTAGGATTTTTTATTATTATTATTTTACAGTTAACTAAGTGTAGTGAAGTGCAGCATAATATTTTCATGGGCCTTTTAAGAAGGTGACTATGAAATGTGAAAGTAGCAAAGGGGAAAGGGGAGGATATGGGAGGTTATACCGGGTGCAAAGCTGGAGGAAGGATAAATAGCTTTCAGTTGCGCGGGCTACTGGAGAAACAGTGGCCTTTGACCAGGGCTGATAAACCACAGCCTTGGAGCCAAACTGGAATGCCCTGGAGCAATGGAGAACAAACAGAGCTTTCCTATACCAAACTGTAAGAGCAGTCCTCTCACTCTTCCTTGCTGTTGTTGAAGGTCACGGATGAGCAGCTTTTCTCTTGCTAGGTCTTACTCAGGTTTGCAAAGGTTTGCAAAGTTCTTACGTGAAATGGGCTGAGTGAGGACACATACAGGGAGAAAAATGAAATGTAATCCATATCACAGGCCTAACTCAGTTCTCCTGGTTGCAGTGGGACTGCAATTTAAGTGCCCACTGCACTTAGTGGAGCTTAGTGATTTTAGTGGAAGTACCCAAAATTCACGCTGCTGCAAGTGAGCAGAATCAAAGGTCTTGGGAAGCAAAACCAAGCAGGCTAGAAGCATAGAAGTGGAGAAGAGGAGGAAAAAGGAGGAAGGGAGAAAATACAAACAGAAAAAGAAAAAGAGCTTCTGAATACCAGAGCCAAAGAGCAAGGCGGAAGATGGGAACGCGGGGGAGCACTGGTAGGAGAAACATAGCCAAACAAAGAAGAGGGAAATTCAGGGTAAAAAGCTGGGAGTACCAGTGATCTTGCTTGTAAATTATATCAGTGGGATGATCTCAGTGCTTCTGCCCTTCTGCTACAGCTCTCTCTAGTCCTGGTCAGGTGAGGTGCTGTTTCCTCACCCAGCGAAGTACCACATTTCCTCTTTCTTTGGAGGAGGATGGGACACAACCCTGACTCATGCCTGTCACGGTGTTTGGTCAGCTCTGATCCAGGAGTTGGACACACATTCATGCAATAAGGCTGTTTAAAAGGTTTTGGCAACTCAACAGCTTCTCACACCCCTACTATGAGCAAAGCTGCCCAAGTTGGCACCAAACCAGAGAGAAGCACTTTGTCATTCAGTTCTCGTGATACGTAGTGAGTGAGGGTCTTTGGCAGAGGAGTTGAACCAAGCTGCTGGAAGCCTGTAACTTCATAAACTGCAGCAACGACATAAATGGGTGTTTGTGGCATGAGCCTTCAGACCATGGCAGCAGTCTTAAAAGTTAACGAAAAGATTGTATATAAACTGATACTGGCAGTGTTCCTCCTCCAGTGTCAGTCAGGATGAAGACCCATAGAAGTCAGTCCAATTACCCTGAAATGCAGATAAGCATGATTAATGGCTCTGCAAAAACAAAATGAAAAATTCTTACAGGCATTGTTCTTTCTATGTGTGAATGCAGCCTTAATGCTCCAGATGCCAATTAAATACCCTAGTAATATTGGGGGGTGGAGGGAGGGAGGAGCTGCTGTGTACTTTGAGGAAACTTGAGACTAAGGTAGTGTTCTGGGTGTTAATGTATGTGATTTGATCCTATGCAAAATTTTATTTATCTTAGACTTAGTGTACTATCATACTCCATTAGCACTGGAAGCAATATGCTATAAAAGATGAGGAAAAGAGGAGTGGACAGCCCAAAATAGAGATAATGATATCCATTTTGCTTAGCATCTTCATTCCTTGCTATCTATCTGAAAGATTTAAACTCATCTCACTCACTTTATTAGTTTTGTTATAGCAGCACCTGTTCATGTCACTACTGTTTCAGTCAGTGTTTCTGTTATAGCTTCTCTTAGTGCTAGTTCATAATCTCATCTTGAAAATGCATCACGAGCTAAGATACAGCATACAGTATCAGCCCAGGCATTATAATGTCACTTTTCCTCCTTTGGCTGGGATTTGGTTTTCATTTTGTTTGGGGTATTTTTTTCCCCCATGTGTTTTTTTACACATTAAAAAAACATAGTAATTTTTTTTTTTTTAAGAGAGGGAAAAGTAACTATTAAAATATGTTTCTCCTAATTATGAATCTGCATGAAATTTATGTATTTAGAAAACGTTAGCAGTCATACTGATGGTTGCAGTTACTATGTATTGCTAGGAAAAAGTTTAGACAACATTTTTAAAAATAAATAAAGCCCATGCTGCTTTGTTTAGCTTTCTGGTAATACTACTGACACGAGCATTTGTGACTGTAGTCTGTGGATCTCATGAAATATTTTCTGAGAGTTGCATATTGGCAAAGTTGGAATTATAAAAATCAGAAAGTGCATAAAAAGGCAACAGGGCTTTTTCTTTCCATTAAACAAATGCTTGCCAGCAAAAAAATTATTATTATTTCGTCTTTTCACCAGTTGTTTTTTCCTGGTAAATAACAGGAACTTTAATTGCACATTAGTGGCTTACAGGAACCTATTGTTGTGACATGTATTTAAACAAGCTGTGAATTAAGAACCTCTTTCCATCCAGTGATCTAATTATATTGTCACACTAATTATAGTATTTTGTGTTTATATTTGACAACTTTAATTTTCTTTTCCTAGTTTACTGAAATAGCTTTCCTCTAGAGAATTTACCTCTTAGGCTGGAATTTCTCATCTTTTCTTTCAGTTCAGAAAATGTACAGTTATTTAAAGCATGTCTGAGTCACTTTGGATCCATTCTGTTCACGTCTCTGCTATTAGTTTTCTGTGTGATCTTAGGCTAGTCATTCTAGTGTTCTCTGATTCCCTGTAGGAGTCCTGTTCAGCTTACTAAAGTGTTTTTGGATCTATGGATGAAATTGCACTACCAAAACACCAGGTACTGTCTTATGAACATAAATATAGCATGTTCATAGCTTGGCACTCTAGTTTATTTTCCTGTGGTTAGAGAACAGAAAAGGACCCACAAGGGTCAAGTTGAGACTTGGAAACAGGCAATAAAACCTTTATCTGTTTACAAAACCAGTATGATGGGCATTTGAAGTAAATTACACTCCTTAATATAATGCAAATGCCCATTTAATTTCTATCCAAATATTATCTATTCCCAAGCCCCAGAAATTAGTGTTAATAATAAGCAGCCCTGTTGTGTGATAGGTCCATGATGCTGTTTTGAAGGTAATTATAATACTGAAATTAAGCACACAAGCCTTTAATTATTTGATTTAATCTTTCCTTGGAAATATCCACATAAGTAAAGGCTACTAGTATGGGGACAAGATTGTTAGTGGTGTAATGTGATGAAGCTAAGCAAAATAATTACAAGAAATGGTGCTGTGGAAACGTCACGAAGATTCAGCAAGCCTGGACATGTGTCAGCAATAGTGGGGCACTGGTGGAGTGGTAAATATTCAACAAATAAGCTATTTCCTCACATAGGGAGGAGGCAACTTTGATTAAGGGAAACCTGAAAGGATGTTGAGAACGGGAATTTATCCAAGAGGTAGATGAAAGTTTATGTAAACGTGGCAACTTTGGCTGATCTGAAATATCTACTAATCAGGGCATGTGGCACAAAGCTCAGCTTTTTGTCATTGCTAAGAAAGGAGACACACAGATTAGCTCTGTGAAAACTGTGTGTAGTCTGCTTCGCTGCAAGGTTGATGCTGGTGGAAGATTCCTACAATGACATTTAAGACGAGGGAGAAAATAAGGTATGTTCTCAGGGGGCTCCTGAGGAATCGCAGCTGCTCTTCTTGGCGACTGTGCAAATGTCGGGACAAGCAAGACAGATGGTTGCAAGTTTTGCCCACACCTATGCTTTGTGGGGCGTGATAGCAAAGTTCCAAGATTTAAACAGATGATTTTGAAAAATAACATCTTGAAAGTAAATATAATCGGTTTCATTACTGCAAAACTAAATGAAATTTAATTTTACATATCACATCATCAAGTGGGAAGATTATGCGTGGAGATGGCTAACAGAATTAGCACTGGTGAGTGCAAATTCAAGGTCTTAGGAGAAATGGCCCATCCCTAGCTCTTAACACTCACTTCTTCCAGCATCTAGCAACTTCTGTACTCCAGCCGTTCCCTAACTCTTCATAGGCGTGGCCACTTCATATTGCTCACTCAGTTCACGAAACCTTTTCTCTCTCACGCTGTATCTCTTCTGAAACATACAGGTAGAGCAGAGAGTTTTGTTCTCTTAACACACGAGCACTCACCTGCAGAGTACTTGACTCTCTACCTTGACTGCATGAATCGGTCAAAGCAGGGAAGGCTGTCATTTGGGTACTCGCCAACTAGCAGGGAGTACACCAGGAAAAAGCAACCCTCCTCCAGTGGTGAACAGACTCAAGAAAGGTTACAAGCAGGAGTTGGGCAGGTTGGATGGAGGACGATCATGAAAACCTGAAACAGAGCACAGTGAGAGGAAGTAGTAAATAAGCAGTGCAGAGCTATGCTCAGCAACTGCACACTCACGCTAAAGCAGAATGTATTTTATACCAAGTC